CTATTTAAATCGCAGCTTGCACTTTACAAGGCCAGGATCTCGGCTGTGTGTGTGTGTGAATGTTTAAAGCGAGCATGAACTGTGCTGGGAAGGGAAGTGAAGGGAAGGGAAGGGAAGGTAGAGAACATCCATGCCACAATGTCCCTCTGCGCTTCATTCATTTGGATGAATCAAATTCTAGAGCTCAGGGCTGAGTCTTGCAACTTGCTCAACACAGAGTGAATCGATGTTATGCATTCCCTTGTTTTAATTTGATTTTGATCTTGTTGATAATTTGATTCCTTCCTTCTGTATTCCTGAGCCTGTTTACCTAGGACAGGGTAGGCATCTTATGGAGATCCTGGGACTAGCAGGGGATTTTGGGGCTCATCAGATTTGGGGCTAGGATGGGGATTCGGGGGCTAATTTGCCCACCCATAACCCATGCAAAGGTATATCCTTCCCCACCTCTGTCTAAATCACCACCCAATAAAGTGCCAAATTTGGCAGTGTAGCAGTAAAAAAGCAACACCTACTCTTTAAAGCAAAATTGTGCTCCTGGCGATGTGGCAATTGTGGGGGACACATGTCGTAACTCAGACCTTTGTTGTCCAAGAGGAATGGCTCTGGGGTGGTGGGTTTGGTCATAGGCCATGGGACCCATGCCAAACTTCAGCTCAGCAGAAGAGCGTGCAAAGTGGACTTCCACACCGTCTTCTGTCTCTGTGAGGCAGGCCTGGGTTTTTCAGGTGCCTTGTCAGGATCGTGGATGTAATGTGCACGCCACCTGCTGAGCACACAGGTGTGCACGGAGAGCTTGTTGCACATGTATCTCGTGGGTGGCATTGTGGCCTACTTTACAGAGGGGCGTCTAAAGGCCTCTTCTCTTTGAAGGGTTGTCTGGTTTGAAAAGAACCTGTCAGAAGGGAGAGGCGTTGAAGCCGCTCATCAGCCGTTTGCACATGTGCAGCAGGCTGGGTAGGCACAGAGGTCATTTCGTCATAGCCTTCCCCTCTAGGGTATTACCTAATTAGTATATATTCCATTTCTGTACCACCCAATGGGTACAACAACAACAGTTCATCATCATCATTGCTTTATATCTTGCCTTTCTTCCTCTTGTGAGAAACCCAGGTTGGCTTACAAGTTTCTCCGCCTCTCCATTTTATCCTCACAACAACCCTGTGAGGTAGGTTAGGCTGAGAACCAGTGACTGGCCCAAAATCCCCCCGTGGGCTTCATGGTGGAGCGGGGACTAGAGCCCAGATCCCCCGAGTTCCTCTCCATTAATAAATTACAGTGGCTTATAGTATTTCTGCTTAAATGGCATCAATGATCTTTAACTGTAACCCTGTCTGTGTAATTATCATGTGCAGATTTGTATCCCTCTTTGCCCTCTTCCAGGATGATGTGTAAGTGGTCATCCTGGAGTGCATGCACAGGACAGGGGCTTTTAACTTCCTCCAGGTAGCATCTTATAGGAAAACTTCAGAACAGAGCGGGTGACGCCATCAAGTCCTTTGCCTAGTAAGCACCCCTGTCAAAACTTTTGCATTTCTAATGTTCCTTGCAGTGCGCTTGGATCCCTGTCGTGCAGATCCATCATCCATTCGGGAATAAATTGCAAGCTTCAAAGCATACATCATCTGCTAAACTGTGGCCTTTCTGCACATGCACCAGGGTGGTTGATTTAACCCTTTTGTCACAGGAAGCGATGTGATGATTTTGCTTTATCCTTTAAGGAAAGACCAACATTTTAGTTCAACATTTTAGTTAAGGAACCCTATCATGATAACAAAAACAGCCACGTGTATTGTATATTCTTCCATATGCTGATCCAGATAGTCTTCTTACACCTACCAAATGGGTGACGGTGAGGAAATGTTACCCAGAGAGGCAACAGGGAAACAACCAACCAGGAAAAGGTACACGACTTGATGAAGCATGAAGTTCTGAGGCGCTTCTCAGTTCCACACCGTTCTTCAGATGTGCATGGAATGATTTCTTGAATTAGAGGATAATTCTCATACAAGATTATTCAGATGAAGCCTTTACTATCCAAGGAAATGCCAAATTCATTTGGGTGAATTTTGCCCATCACTAATAGGATGCCACTTCCAATGTGACCTGGGGAGGTTGTTATTCAAAAAAGGAAAAACTGGGGAGCACTTGCCCTGTTTAAAGCTAGCGAGGTTTGTTGATCGAGGAAGGGAGAGCAATTTGAAGTCCTCCAGCAGTTTTGGCCTACAGCTCCCATCATGCATCATGATTGGCTATGCTGCTTAAGGGCTGAAGGGTGTTGGAGGCCAAGACATATGGAAGGCCACAACTGATGACCTGGATTCAATGCACATTCAAACCCTGGTAAAGAGAAGAACATAAATGCCTTTAGAAGGGTGTGCTAGTGTGCAGGACTTGGTTCAGCGCCCCCATGTAGATGGTTTCTGATCCAATTTCCACCAACTCTTTCATGTACCAGGGCTGGGGCTGGGGGGGGCGGGTGGCGGGTGGCAGGCCTGATGCATGACAAATGCCTTCTGCTGCAAGCAGACACATCCCATCTAGTTGAGTCTTGCATTTCTTCCGGAGTGGCCAACCAGAATCTTCTGCAGTGCCCATTAGAAGTGGGTGAAGGGAATACCCTGCACCACTCTTGGGACTCAGCAGCTGGTAATAGTATTGTTGAGATGTAATTAAATTCTAGGAGCTAATTAGGTACTTCCTGTTTGCTTCAGCTTTCATCAGCATCAGGTCTGATTTGTCTAGCTGCTGTTCGAATGGATTTCTCAGTAATACTGGTGGCAGATTCTTATGTTGATTCTTCTTCTTCTTCTTCTTCTTCTTCTTCTTCTTCTTCTTCTTCTTCTTTTCTTATTATTATTATTATTATTATTATTATTATATGCTTTAATGGGTTGTTTTTAAACAGGTAGTCAGAAATTCAGGAAATGCAATCTCAAAAGTTAAAAAGTTGGAATATCTTTTCTTTGCAGAAATAGTACCTCTCGAAGTGGAAGTTTCATTTAGGACATCATGGCTAAGCTCCCAAAATAGACATATTTGCCACAAAATGTCTCGTTTAATGCCATCTATGAGCCAAAGAAAGTCTCGTGGCACCTGAAAGGCTAATGCATTCATTATGGCATGAATTACGTGCATCTCAGTCTGTTTTTGTCGCAACAGACTAATTGACAAACACCTCATGACAGTGGATTCCATGAATGAAATGCTTTCTTCAGTTCAGCCTTCCCCAACCAGGTGCCCTCCAGAAGTTTGTGAGTTTGACTTCCATGACCCCCAGTTCTCAGGAATGCTAGAACTTGTATTCAAAAGCATCTGGAGGGCGTCAGGTTGGGGACGGCTGCAGCAGTTTGTCCTACTTCAATCAGATGGTTTAAAGGCAGCATAACCATGTTCATGTGGAACTGGTTTTCTGTCTGGCTCTTAAAAGGATATAATTATAACTGAAATTTCCAAGTAGCACACACTTAAAGGTGCAACTGCTCCCATGATGTGGCAGGGAGCATCTCTGGAAGCTGCATCTCTGGAAGCACTCAGGCATTCGGAAATAAAAGCCCGGACCGTCCGCAAACACACAGTCTTTGCCTTGTGCAACTAGTGGCTCCAGATGCTGACACGCTTGCCCTCCTGTATCCAATGCACTTATCCGATTCTTCTTTACTGAATCAACATTTCAGCTCTAGATGGAAAGGACTAGATTTTCTAAAGCTCTAGCAGCAGCGGTTGTTTATTATTTTATAATGAAGGGTACAATTTTAAAAAATATTTTTAATATCAAAACCACCCCAAAGTGCTAAGTATGATGGTGTGTTATAACAGTTAAATGTACAAAAACCAAAAAGTCACCTTCTAAGCTATACACAGACCTTGCTCTTGACTTTGGGCACATTATAATAAAGAGAGCAACCTGGGTCTAGGCAGGGACCCCTCTCCTTTCATAAAACTTAATTAAAATGTTCAGTATTACTCCTTAAAAAGTACCACAGAAACTTCACAGGAAGAAAATGAAGAGCTGAGCTGATATCCAAGAACTATCCTCAGATTGTTAGCACTCCCCCTGCAAAAGGACACCCTGTATTCATCAAGGCCTTGCACGTGCTTTTTATCCACTGAAAACACACCCATGTAACACTTGGAGGACAGCCGTGTGGAGAAGGTTCAAGGCACCTTTTGGATCCGTCCTCATCATATTCTTGATTTTCCCAACATTCGTTCCCAAACACTGTCCAAGCATGTTCAGTCCACTTAGAAGGCAACGCGAGTCTTTTGGGGTGGGGCGGGATGGCAGCCAGGAAGCCTCTTCCTGTTACAAAAGGGAAGCCTGCTGAAGAAAGCAGTCATTTCAAGGCTGCTTTCCCAAGTGCTGGTAGCAAAGGAGGCCATTTTATTTCTGGCCCTTCATAAACCAAGAAAACATATGGTCAATGTTGCATGTAGTGTAACTGCTATTTTTAGTTTAAAAGATGACTCCTGAACAAGAAGCAGGGCATACACACGTGTGCACACCTGAAGACCGACGGGAACTTTTCCTAAGATAGTTTGGAGTATAGAGGCAACCTGTGAACAAGGGAGGGAAATGCAATTCTTTCCTTCCCCACTTCTTTACTTTAATGAATGCCATTTGCTGTCGCAATGGACGATCCTCACAAAAGGACGTCTCAAAAGGCCTTTGCCACATACCAACACACGCCTCTTAAGTGTGCGTAGCACTCCTCCTACAGCCTGCTGTGACTTGAGAGCTGTACAAGCAATGGCCCACTGCCGTCTTCGACCGTATGTTTTTCCACCTGGGCATTCCTAGTTGGGAGGCGGGCTTCTCTTGCACTATGAAATGGTGGGCAATCACAAATGCAAAGCATATGAAAACATTAACATTCGCACATTGCAATGCCAGTTGTGCAAATGAAACGTGTTGGACAATTTGAATGGAGATATCCCAGAACACCAAACCCTAGCGCATCTTGAAATCCATTTGGGATGAAACAAATGCCAAGGACGCCTGAACTTCCAACAGCCTTTTCATTCGTATAGTTATAAATCCAATTCAGCCATTAATAAAACAGCTCCTGCAGACCGACTGCAAATAAATAGACTTTTCCTTTCAGCAACCAGCCTGTCTCTTCCATCCGTCTTGCTTGCCATTTAGGCAAACAGGCTCCTTTGGTTTGCCACGAGCACTGTCTGGCTTTCGCGCCTCTTCGCCTTCTTGTTCCGCTGTCGGATTTTCCAGCACAAGGCGCTCAAGGCCAGCAGGAGAAGTCCGGATGACAAGAGGACCAACCCGAGCACGGAGATGATGGACCCGTGGGAGTTGAAGCTGTAAGCCACGGCTGTGACCACCACCCCGGCGATGAGGATCACCACCCCAAATGGGATTGTGCAACGGTAGCAGGAAAGTTCAGCTCCACCCGTGGCGGCCGTCAGCTGGCATTCGCTCACCAACGGGACGGCCGTGGCCCCGCAGTCACTGCCGTTGCTCTTCTCCAGCGTCGCGCACTGTGGGCATTTGGAACCTCCCAAGACCTCCTTGATAGGCTCATCCATCCTCTTGCCACCGTGGCTTGGATTCTGTTGCAGCAATGGAGAGGCTAGACCGGGCGTTGCTCAAACGGTTTCCACTATGTGGCAAGAAAATGCATTTAGACAGATGGGTATTTCAGGGCTGACTCCAGAGCAGTCTTCCCCGATCTGCTGCCCTCCTGAGGGGATGGACCACAGTGTCCTTCGTTTCCAGAGGCTGGGAGTGTTGGGAGCTGCAGCCCAACACATCTGGAGAGCAGCTGCTCGGGGGCAGCTGCTTTAGACTAAGCCACCTGGGAGAGGGGGGCAAAAGATTGATGTGGGGAAGCCGGAACTGGGGAAATGATCTTTTTCCTCCTTTCCTTAGCTAGGCAGTTACTGGTTGGGCCTAGTCTTGGGTCTATGGGCTGAAAAGTAGCATCCCTCTTGGCTGCTGTTTGATGCATTGGAAGCTGGGAAAGCAGGGAAGGAGGGAGTCCTTTTTATGCAATTCAAAGCCACTGGCAGGCTTCTGGCTTTGCTGATTTAAACTCTAACTTTAATCTACTGTGGTTACCTGCCAACCTGTTGTTGTTTGTGAGTCCTGAAGCTGTGCTGATACCAGTTTAGTCAGGTGTGAAGATCACAGGATATGTTTTTGGAAAGATCACCCGTGACCTCTTGCTCCCACTGGAGTCATCCAGAGGGTGTTTCAGTGTAAAAGGAAGCTGACTTGTATCCAAGCAACAGCATTATCTGCAAGGCCGGTCCAGTGGCATCCCTACCCATGCAGATGAACTGCAGCTCAGTGCCAGAGCACCTTGTTTGCCTTCAGAAGCTTCCAGGCTCAGTTTCGGGGATCTCCAGTTACAAAACAGATCAGCCCGCAGGAAAGAGGGAGGACATCTGCTGAAGAGCTGACCCTCGACCAAGGGTAGGGAGCCAGTGGCTCTCCAGCTGTTGGGCTGGGCCTGAGGAGCACTGAATCCTACAACAGCGGGAGGGTCACAAGTTCCCCAGCCCTGCCCGAGGAAGCCACAGCCGGCCAAAGCAGACAATACTGCATGAAGGAATAGTCTGGCCAGATGTGACGTCTGTTTTGCTCCTCCAGTGCTCAGCAGAGAGCACACTCCTGGAAGCTGCCAATTCTCCCATTTTTCTGGTAAACTGCAGGGCTGGTCTATGGATAGTGAAGGGTGTGTTCAGTAAATCGCATTGACCTAAGCTTGGTAGAGCTGGCAGGAATGCAACGACAGCAGATTACAATACTGGAGGGTGTCTGCTGAACAAATCGTTCCGGAGAGTTCAAGTCAGAGGAGCCCATTTCAGAGAAAAACCACAAGTCGCAAAGGTTTGACCTAGTCTGAGCAAGGGAGAGGGAGACATTCCTTCCCAGCTCCACACTGCGGTATTCTTCAGACCTCAGGAAGAGGGCAAAATGCAGGGGATAATCGATGCGTGGGGGAGAAAGTGGGAAGCTGCATTGCTGCTTGTAACTGTATCAACTGCTAGGTCATGTTCCTACAGAGGGGGAAAGGGGGGTGCCACTCTGGGACATCTGTCAAGCCAGGCTCTGATAAAAGCACAGCACTGTTCCCCAGGTTGCAGCCTGGAAACCCTGGAGGCAGGGCAGGGACAGCAGAGGACTGGCGGAGAAACAGAGGGAAAAGATGAGAAGATGGAAACGCCTCTTCTAGCTCCAGTTGCTGGACTTAAAATCATGATATAACAGCAGCTTAACTTACATTCCAGTGACATCCAGATGTCCCATGCAAGACCGAAACTGTATGTGGTCTAGCAGAAGACTGTCCAAGCAAAACTCCCAAGCCTGTAAAGAAACACACAGTATAAACCTTTTCTGGAAATAATTGTACTGTTGATAGTGGATTCAGAGGTAATGCAGTGAGGTGGATTATGTGTTTTACCAAGGGAGAGATAATAAACATGTTAATGTCACTTTCTCCCATTGTGGGAATTTTAAAAACTCCATTTATGTCCTGTTTATTAAAATAATTCTGTTACTTCTGAAAAATGAACCCAATGAAATTCTCATCCATCCCATCTTTTATCATCATCTACATGTACTTGGTTGCGGGGGGGGGGGGGGGGGGGCTGTCACTGAACACTGGCCTGTTGTGGCATGCGAACCCATTCTCACTGAGAATCATGGTTTGTTAACCACAAATAACCCAAAGCTGACACTCTGACAACAAATTATGGGTTCTTATTACATCTATAAATATGTTTTTCAGTATAAGTCTTTAGAGAAGTTCTGTGTAGATAATAAATCAGTAGTAGACAACTTGGTGTCTTCTACAGTCTGACCATTGCCCATACTGGCTGGGGCTTATGGGAATTGTAGTCTAAAATATTTAGAGGCTGCCAGGTTGTCCCTGGAATAAGCTTTCTCAGGGCTTTTTCTGTTGGGTTTCCATGAGAAAGAATTAAAAGTTCCACCATTTTCTGCCATTATAGGGCATGAAAACCCCCCCCGCACCAAACAAATAAACACTCTTATCCAGAGATGTCAGAGATATGTGAGCATCCATGCTTCAATGACACTCGAAGGGATAACCCGGAGCAAGGCTATTCTGGAATCAATCTGCAGTGTCTTTGCTAGGTCATCTCAAAACCCTCTGCACAGCCCTAGATGCAGGTTTTCTGTGGTTTCATCTTATGATGCTACTGTGACATTGTAAAGTCAGATCATGTCAGCCTTTAAACACAGCAGCATTATTCTATAGAAAAACCAACCCTGGGGCACAGGAAGGTACATGAGAAGCAGCACCAGCTTTGACCATTGGTCCACCTGGCCCTGTATTGTCTCCACTGTACCTGGCAGCAGCTCTCTGGAAAATGGCATTGCATTATTATCTGCGATCAGACCCTTAAATAAACAGAGCATGCTGAACAAATAGTGCTTTCTATTTTCTAAATAAGCAAAAAATACCATATGACTGAACAGGGACTTGAACCCTGGACCCTCAGATTAAAAATCAGACATTTGACCGACTGACCCTCCAGGCACTGATATAACATAAAGGCCACTTGGCTATCTCATTAAAAAACCACAATCCTCCAATGGCCTAATCGCGTGTGTGTGTCCATTTTGGTTCAGATTACCTGACTGCAAGGTTTTTAAAAGGTGCCACACATTTTGCATACCTGGATTAAAGGGTCTGCTAATACAGACCCAGAGCTTGACTGTTTTGCACGACCTTTCAGAGCTAAGCTCCGCTCAGGAAACTAGTGGAAGTGTGTGTTGGGTGTGGGGAGGGGGAAGCCTTCTCATAGCTGACAGCATCCCTGGACACGATGCTTCTGCAGAGTTGCTGAAACAGGCGTTATTTCCCTCAAGCTGATTGCAGTCTAAGTCTTGACAGGGCAGAAGACAAAGTTGTCTTTCATATTGTGAGTGTGAATGATGGTAAATTCCTTCCCAGTGTTTTTAACTTGCACTTATGTATGGGCATATGTGCTTTCTTCCACCAGGACAGGTGTGAGCCTTCCCTAGCCCAAATCTTCAAGCAAGAATAATCACGCTGGGCTATAATGAATACCATTTCCTAATTGTATTAGTCTTAAGATCAGCAGGCTGTCTCCAGGCAAGCGCCTTCCTACATTTTTTAAGAATATTTATGGCACTTTATTTCACATAATTCTCACATGCACCTTCTCATGGGAAAGACATGTTGTAGCAGGGCTTATCCTTCAAGCAATTCTGTCTCCCTCCAATTCTGTGCAATCAACACCACCCGCCCCCCATGGAAAAGTTAGTCTGCGAGATTACAATTTATCCCAAACTGTCCAGCAGGTGCGGGACTGCAGTCTGAACCTAAGACTTCAGGGTTCTTAGGTATGTCATTCCTATTTTAATAGCACAGCACTATCCATGTATCCTCACAAGTAACCCCTAGTGAGCTCAGAGAGCCTTACTCCCAGGCAAGCGGGCATGAGACGGGAGTCTAAGCATCTTTGTGAATCTTTATAATTTTTTGGAGGGGTGATGGCTTTTTTTAGAATAAAAATATTAAGAACACACAGTCTTCCCAGACCCACCCCCATTTTGTTAAGAATTTTCATCTCCACTATGTCTTTCCCAACTGGGTACCTTTCGGAGGTGCTGAACTACAACTCCCATCATCCTAAACCAGCATGGCCAATAGTTAATTATGATGAGAAGGCTCCAAGTCAGAGAAGGCTGGAGCAACTGATTAGAAACATTTGGGAATTAATTTTTAAAAGTTTACCATATTAGTATACCTTATTAAGATACAAATTGCTTAGGTATGTTTATTAAGGTAGGTACCACCTCAGAAGAGGCTTTTTTCCTCTGTTGTTCACTTTTTTCTTCTGCCTTGTAAGGCAGGGCCTGCTATACCAGGGCTCACATTATCTGTGTTCAAAGACAGAATACAGATAATGCATTTGTTCGTGTCTTCAAGGACATGGTTGTATTCCTGTGGCTATTTATGCACATTTCTAATCAATTAAAAATGTAGTCACCTTTCGCCTGTATGTTCACCTACCTCATACACAGGAAATCCATTGTGGCTTGGCAAGAAAACGATTCAGCAAGCGTTTGCTGGTCTCCCTGTCCCCTCCCCACTCAAAACCCCCAGCTGGTTAAGGGCAAAAACTAACGGCTGCAGGTTCCTTTCCTTTGCGTTGCTGCTGTTCCTCTCAAAACCAGGCCGTGAACTGTGCACAGAGGTGACCTAGGAGGAAAAAATGTGGATGAAATCAGAACTATACAGCAGCAAACTTATACCCGCTATAGAATCATTCAGTGTAAGAAACGATAGCTCTTTCATAGTGCAAGCAGTCTCTGGTGGGATGCACAGACACACTTCAGGACTTCCATTTCCACTGTTGCTTGCTGGGGGGTTTTCCTGAATGAAAATACCTCTCTGTTGTGGATCACAGACTCCAGAACTAAAGCTGACCATTCCTACTCCTTTTCAAGGGAATCGCCCTTATTTCAGGGTAGCTCAACAACTCAAAAACAACATCCCCACCCCATCTTTGGACAACCAGCAGTCCACAGAATGGACATTGCAGCTCTGTCACTCGTGTTTGGAACAACATTCAGTGCTCCGAAGATTTATTTCAACGCAGCTTCAGGCATGACAGAGATGTGGGAGAACAGGAAACACAAGTCATTTCTGCCGTTTGTCCCTGTATATCATTGCTGGAGTCAAAGTAAAAGTTCAGTGTTTCCCTCTATACAGGGAGAAGCACAGCATCAAGACCTTGCATAGGTCACCCAGCAAAACATTTCCTTCTTAAGCCAGTGATTTGCTAGATCCTCCACTCAGCAATGCCCCGCTGGGGGTTTCCGGGAAAAGGCTCTGCCAGTTGGGCAGGGGGCTTTGTTTCAAATCAACCGGTTAAGAATGGGGTGAGCTTTCTGCAGTACCTGCACTTAAATCAGCCAGAAGCCAGTGCGGGGCTTTCCGTGACACATCTAAGCAAGGGAGAGCCAAAGTCATTGTCGACAGGAGCAACAGCTGTGAAGCTGCCAGGCAGCTGGGTTAACCTTCTGAACCAGCAAAAGATTTGTTGCTAAGCTCACTCAACATTCCTTTGCTCTGCATGTGTGATCGTGCAGGATTGTTAGGGCCATTTCAACACTGCCACCAGGGCTCCCATCTGGGGGAAGAGCAAGAAACAGCAGGAATAGTCAAGTGGAAAAAGCACGTTCACAGTATGGCCTGCATGGGATCAGTGCACCGGCTGGCATCTTAAGTGGACCTCTTGCCTTTACACATCACATAGTTGCCCATCGTGTGTCCAAAAAGCATCTCTCTCCCTCCCTCCCTCCCTCCATCCCTCCCTGAGTTTTAGCCCACTCCATTAGTCACACGGCTTCGTGGACATTTGAAAAACACTGCTCTGCATTTCCTTTTCTGTCATGCTTCACAAAGTGACAAGATGGAGTTATTTTAGGGGAGTGCCGAAGATGAAACGGTATGGGACAGAAAGGCCCATGCCTTGTCTTAGCTGCTTGACCTGATCCAGCCACTTGCACTTATGAGCTCCTCAGTGCTCCCAAGGTACCCCATAAGCTACATAAGCAAGAGTCAAGTGAGATACCTGGATGTGTTTCCCAGGGGAAGAGTGGGTGGCACAGGCTTAAGAGTAGGGACTGGCAGCAGAGACAGAGAGCTCGGCCGGCCCAAGCCATTGTTGCTGCCTGAGGCAACGAACCGCAGCACTCCTGGCTGGGCCCAGGCTAGAAATGGGACACTGGCCTCCACTGCACCAGAAGGCCGAAGGCTAGCTGGTGGGGAGCGGGACAGGCCTCAAGGCGCACAGCCCTCTCCCCTCAGGCCTGGCTGCCACCTCCCAGCATCTGCCTGCAGAAGTGGGTGCCTCATTTGGCGAATGGTAGAGCTTGGGAGAGCGCAGGCTTTGTATGCAGAAGCTCCGTCTCAGGGCCAGTAGCTCTGGCTTTAAAGGATCGCCTGGGAGAGGATGGAAAAGGCCCTTCTCCACCTGAGACTGTGGAGAGCTGCTGCCAGAGGACACAGTCCTGAGTTAGATGAGAGCTTGACTGGGCACCGGGCAGCTTTCTCCACGCTCCCTGTGAACTGAGGCGAAGATGACATTCAGGATTGGCCGTGTAGCTCCGCAAGATGTCAGGCACCCCCTCCCCTACTCTGGTTTTAAATGATACCAGAAAAGGCCTCTTTATTCGCCTTATCTCTAAGTAAATGTGCTTAGAATTACAAGCACGGGTCCCCAAGCCAGAGCGAAAGAGAGAAAAGCCCAGGTGCAGTGTCCTCGGTTAAACAGCATGAAACCTGGACTAAGCCCAGCTGCCGCCTGCCCTGGGTACTGGCGGGGTTTGCACACAGATGGGGCGGGGTTTGCACGCAGATGGGGCGGGGTTTGCACGCAGCCCAGGAAGGAAATGGCACTTTGGCCTGCATGCAGGGATGAGCAGTAGGGTTGCCAGGTGTCACCTTTTATAGAAGGCAGTCCTCTGCTTGAAGGGCTGTCAGAGGACAACCTTCTATGAGAGGAGCTGCACTGTGCGATAAAGAGCCAGTGAGCAGTGAGAGAGCAGATGGATCAGGAGGGGACGCAGGCCAGTGTGGCATAGTGGTTAAGAGCATGGGACTGGGACTCAGGTGATCCGGGTTCCAACTGGCCATGGAGCCAGCTGGGTGACTTTGGGCCAGTCACAGACTCTCAGCCCAATCTACCTCACAGCAGGGCTTTTTTGGTCATAGAACGCATCGGAACGGCGTTCCGGCACTTTTTTTTGATGGATTTTTCCAAGCAATTGTGAATCGCCCTGTCGGGCACAACCAGTTCATTAACATAGTGCATGCGGGCTGCTTGTGTGTCCGCGCGGATTGTGAGGGCGCTGCTCGGCTTGGGATGCTGCTCGGCTTGGGATCAGTCATGTGGTCGCGTGCTGAGTGCTTACTGCCAGTGGCAACCATTATGTTTGTGTGTGTGTAGAGTGACTGGCTACATGCAAAAGGTAAATAAGTTCTTTATTTCAAAAAAAGTCGGTGAATCGAAAATCTTTTTTCGTGTAAAAGTGTGACCCCAAGACGTGAGTTCCAGCACCTTTTTTTTTTTTTTTTACAAAAAAAGCACTGCCTCACAGGGTTGTTGTTGTGGGGATAAGATGGAGGAGGAGAATGATGTAAGCTGCCTTGAGCCCTTTGCAGGAAAAGGCAGGATATAAACCAGAAAATAAATAAATAAATAAAATACAGTGAACTGGATTGTATGCCCATTGAAATTGTAATAATAATTCCTAAATTTGCATATATACATAGAAATTATTATATGCATACATTATGCAAATCATCACCCTCCTTTGCCCCTTTTTTCTGATGGCTGCCCTCTTTTTGAGAGATGCACCTGTGGCATCTACCCTACTGTGGGTATAGATTCCCATATGGGATTCCTTCCTACATACGACCCTACCCTGGATGTTTTCACGGCCCAAAGCTAAATTTACAGAGCTGTTTGCATGTAATGAGAGATCATCATGTGTTAATTTCTCCGCAGGGCCTCTTATTTTATTATTTATTTATAACATTTCTATGCCGCACCCATCGCAGAAGCCTCGGGGCGGCTTACAAAGCAAATATCTTATCTTTGCACTGACCTGCATTTTGAAAATTCAAATGGTGGCAGGGTGCCCCATGGCTTCTCATTACATGCAGTCCACCCCTGTGGCCCTAAAGCAGGCCATGGGTTCCACGTGACTTGTTAACTTACCCCAGCAACCTGCCCTCAGGGTTGGCATGTAAGAATACACTTCAGCACTGCCGTTGAGGCCAGGATTTCCCACTTGCAGATCAGCAGACCCTACGGGGAAGTTCCCCCATGGTGGTCTGCTGGTATGTGTGGACCAAGTCAGCGTCTCCTCTCAGGCAGGGAGGGGATCCAGTGGAACTGGTCAGCTAGGAAAGGCCCCTGCGAGTGCCATACCCACGCCTGCATTTGTGCCAAGAAGCGAGCATGTGGCTGGGGATTTCCCATTTGTCTCAAAATGTTTCACTCTACCAAGAGCTGAAAGGCAAGAGTGCAATGTGCCAGTCACACGGAATGGGTGGATAGCCTTCCTGTGGCTTCCACCTGCTTCTCCCCTTTATTCTCTCTCTTTTTTAAATGCCTGGCTACTAACTGCTCCAGGGCTTGGGTGAGGTGCAGCTGTCAGCCATCTGCGGGTGAGAAGAAAACTGCAGGTGAGAAGAAGCTGATTCGCCTCAAGGCGAAGTCCACAAATGCAGCCTGGCAGCTTGACCTCACCAGGCAGTCCCAAAGGGTGCAAAGTGAGGCATGAAGAGTCACTTCCAGCCATGAAACTGACAAATGTCTGGAGAGGCCAAAGAATAAGTGCTTCCAGAGCCCGAGTGCTAAAGCATCAAAAGGCATCATGCAGCCACGTCATATCATGTTCCTTAATGGAGCTTTGTGTGGAGACAGGAAGAAATGTCAGGAAAACACGAGAGGGTGACACGTGGAAGATGGTGCTTGGACCTCCCCCCCCAGCCCAGTAAAATTTTGTGGATGAGGCAATGGGATTGCACAGGGTAATCCACCTCTGGAGGCAACCTAAGCTCCCCATCTCCCCAAACACACCGACTTTCACTCTGTACTTCTGAGAGGGAGGAGGAGAAAAGACAGTGCAAACCTATGCCTGCCTACAATGGAATCAGCTCCTTCGAATTCAGCAGTACTCGCTCCCAGGGAAAGATGTGCAAGACTGCAGCCTTCATGGTCCAACATCTCTGGACAGCCCACACATGACTCTTTCCATCAATGCAAAGAAGCATCCGCATTCCTTTGCAAAGGAGGGTGGCAGGGTAAACCCGAGGGGAAATTGAGGCAGCTCAAAACTGAGTGAGAAAATAGGGCTATAATTTGTTCAAAATAACATTCAGGGGGAATTTGATGGGATGATTAAGGCTGCCAGACTTGACTGAAAGTTAAACTCAGAATCTATTTCCAATGCCCAGCTGTAATATAAAGAGAATTCCATTCTCTTTGGCTGTACCCAGTGAGATTTACTCCCTGGGTACAGCCAAATCCCAAGCATTGGATGGATCTCAGACTGCTTCTGAGGAGGCTTGGCCCATTTCTTTAGTAAATTAACTGCTGGCGTGTTACATTCTTCCATGTCTGTCACCTCTGAGGGGACTTCCTGATGGAGGCTTTGGAAGAGGCATCAGGCAGAAGGAACATGCCATGATACTGGCAAGGCCTCCAGCAGCTGTGACAATCTCAGTACTTCACAGCCAAGTGGAGAGCATCAGCCGAAAGAAATGTATGTTATGATGATTACACAGACTGTGACACCTGATGTCTCTCTCCCCCCCTCTCTCTGTCCACCTCTCTCTCACACACACAACAGCCACACAGCCCTCTTATGCCTGCTGTCACACTACCGCAAGAAACCAGCTCAGGAGCAGCAGTTGTCTGGATGAGCCTGGAGTTGTAAAATCACAGGATCATAGGACAGGAGAGTTGGAAGGGGCCAGGAGGTCATTGGGTGCAGCCTCCTGCTGTTGCAGGACCCTAAGTTAAACCATCCCTCTCAGAAGGCTGTCTAGTTCCCTCTTCAATGCTTCTTGTGTGGGAGAGCCCACAACTTCCCAGAGTAAGTGGTTCCATTGTTGTATGGCTCTGACAGTGAGGACATTCCTCCTGGTGTCTAGTCAAAATCTGGTTTCTTTTAAGTCTGTTATTAAGTGTCCTGCACTCCGGAATGGACGGGAAAAGATCTTGCCTTTCAGTTACTTGTAGAGTGCTTATCATATCACCCCTTACTCTTTTCTTCTTGAGGCTGAACATGCCCAGTTCTCTCAGTGTTTCCTCACGGAGCTTTGCCTCCAGTCCCTGAAACATCCTTGTTGCCTTCCTTTATACCCTTTCTACCTCTTCTGCATCTTTTTAAAACATAGGTGACCAGAACGAGGCACAATACTCCTGCTGAGGTCTGACTAATGCTGAGTATAGGAGAACTAGTACTTCACGTGTTTGGAAGTGATACTCCTGTCAATGCAGCCCCAAACAGTGTTTGCTCTTTCTGCAGCTGCATCACATTGTTGGCTCATATTCAGCTTGTGGTCTACAACAAGCTGACCCTTCTCTTTTGTACTAGTGTGGAGTCAAGTGTTCCCCATTTTATAGTGATGCATTTGGTTTCTTGTTTCTAAGTG